CCGTCACCAGCTTCAGTGGCTTTTCCCCATATTCACCCCAAACGCCTTTAGGGTACCAGGGGCATAAAACCAGCAGCAATATTTTAGGCACAATCTCACAACGTCGAGTAAAAGGGAACAATCGCTTCCCCCCCCTCCCTTTCCCCATTTCTCCCCTGGAGCTAAAGAAAAAGCAACAAGAAATCCTCCCCAAGCTGTCAAGCTCCGTTTCCTGGAGGAATACAATTAAATCTCGATATGGCAACGTGACGGCAGCTCTTCCCCATCTCAAAAAGATGCTTTTCAAGCAGCATTCGGCTGTTCCTCTCTTCCACCCCCTCCTCTCGGTTTTCCTTCCCGCCACGGAGTGCGACAGAGGCTCCAGCTTCGCAGCCAAAAAAAGGTGCGATTTGGCGAGCGCGGCGCGCCGACGTGAGTGGCAGGAGTGAAAAGGCAGAGAAGCAAACCTCGAAAGCCTGCCTTCTGCTGCGGCGGGTGTCAGCCTTGGCAAAACCTCAACTTCCAGAATTTTCTTGCAAAATTAACAAAAAAAAAAAAAGCAATTAGAAAACCTGTTGGATTTGGCTGCTACTTTTCTTTTCATTGTTCCCTTAAAATGAAGAAAAAAACCCAAACTTCTTTCTTTTGCTTAAGAACACAGTTAGTGCAATCTGGGGTGTACCTGCCTGCCAGTATATGGGGACGCAGTTTCACCATCTCAGTTTGGAGTCCCCGACACCGGTGAGATGAAATGAATGCTAAGCACCTTGATGCTGCTGCGTTTGGAAGACCTCTGCATGAATAAATTACATTTTTTTCCCCTAAGCAAGCTTGGAAATCTATATCCCCTCCCTCATTTTCCCCATTTGCAGTGAGTTTGGAGGGGCTCCATTGAAATGAACAGGGGACCACTAAGAGAGAGGAGGGGGGGATGCAGGGGCTTTGCTCTCTGCAGGTGGAGCTGAGCCAAGGGCTGTGGTGGGTCTGAGCATCCTCCCGGAGTCCATCATCCCATCCTCCAGCAGTGGGGTCACTGCATGCCCCTCCTGTTCCTGTCCGAGGCAGGTCTGGGTGGACCTCCGACCTGCTGCAGCACAGTGATTTCAGCATTCACACCAACGTGGGCAACAAATAACGAATATAACAGCCCCCCCCACCTCCATCCCTGCTGCTTTACACGTGGAAAAATGCTGCGGAGTCAGTTCGATATTCCCCCTGGTTCATTAAAGCAGCATCCATTTTTCTGCAGATAAGATGGTCCGTCAAGGGAATGGATGATGGCAACTCATTTGTCACACTTGTTAAATGTAGGAAAGGCTGGCTTTGGGTCACTTCCAATTTTGTGTCAGTTCTGCTTTTATCCGAGCAGCCCCGCGCCTGCATGCCAAGCAGGGCAGCTCATTCCTGCGTGCCACGGGAGATGGGGATGGCAGCACTGTCCCTGCAAGATTTTTCAGAATGGGGGGGGTCTCTGAGTGCAAAAGCACTTGCAGCACGGTTCCAACGCATCCCAGCTCAAAGAGAGGAACACACTTCTTATTGCAAGAGGTGCCAGGCGTGTTGGTCCCACAAAATCTGTGGATTTGAGTCCCCCATTGCAAGCGGGGTCACCTAGCATAAGTTATCCCCTGAGCCCATCCTGCTGGGCTTGTGTTTGGGCTGAAAAGCTTGAGAGGTACGATGCGCACCTGGATGGTGAAGGTTATCGAGCCAAGGCGTTGGGAGTGGCCAACATGAGCGTGGTGCAGGTGCTGGGGGAGGGAAAAAGTGATGCAACCGCACCTCTGCACTCCTCCTAACCCTCAGAGGATTTCGGGGTGACTAGTCCGAGTCTTGCCTAACCTAGCACCATCCCAGCGGGCTTTAATTTGCTCCAATTATCAGGTGCCAGCTCAGGATGGCTGCACCGCGAGTCATTTGGGCTGCACCCTCTTTAGAGGCATTGCCGTCGTGATGGGCCACCTCCCTTACTCTGGCAGGGACAAGGAATGGAGACAGGCCCTAGATAGGATGGAAATGCCCATGGCTGTGACCCCTCAGATCTTGCTTCAGGGAAGGGAGCAAGAAGGAACCAAGAGAGCTTGAGAAGAGTCTTGACCTCTGGATGAGTGATCAGAGCAGTTCATGGCTGAGATACTTCCCAGGGCACCAGTACTGCACTGCAGGCACTGGTCTGGTGTGGAAATGCCCGCTAGCAAGTGGGGAGTGGGTAGGACTGCAGGTCCTTCTGCCCATAGCATTCCCCATAAATGAAGCCCAGGCTGGGGTTAAGGCGTGGAGACCTGCACAGGAAGGAGGTGACATCTCTTGGGGCTTTCAGGGAAGCATCCTTCTGGTCTGTCCCCACAGACCTCACTGAGCACAGCCCAGGGACACCACATTGGTTTAACCATGCACTCAGCAGAGGATGAAGCGTCCCACGATGGCCTGTCTACATTCCCCATCTCTTGTTCCACCATCTCTTTCATGGTGGGTGCAAAGGAAGATGCTGTTGCCTCCTCCCGGCTCCACGGCTGGTCTGCAGCGCCCAGCTTCCTTGGCTTGAGGTCATCTCAGAGCTGGAAAAAGATGAGGTGACTGCAGCAGATGAGATGAAGGGTCAGAGGGGCTGAAAAAGCTTTATTTTAGTCCTGATCTTGCCATTCTTTTGTGGTGTTGGGCATGTTGATGTGCAGCACTGCAGGCAGCTATTGGGAAGGGCTCCTGCCTTGTTCGGTGGCATCTCTGAAATCTGGCTCTTGGTAACGGCTCTTGTGGTAGCAGCAGGTTCACACTGCAGTGATTTATTTCTGTCTTCACTGTTGGTGCTAGCAGGGGAGGAGGGACCTGCCTGCTCGGTCCCCTTTGCCTGCTTCCCATCGATTGCCCATCACGGGAGTCGCTGAGGTTGCTGCTCTGAAATCTGGATCCGTGCCCTCCTTCATGCGGCCCCGACCTCCAGCAGCATCCCTCATCCTGCTTTAAATCTCTCCCCAGCAGCTGCTGGTGACACGAGCATCTTCTCCTGACAGCCAGTGGGGACCAGGAGCTCAGCCCTCCTAGGGAAGGAACGAACCCTGCAGCATCAGACATCAGAGGTATCTTTTATTGACCGGTTACAGAAATACAGTAGCACTCGGTTTACGGGGCTTAGGCGGGTTCTCCAGAAGGTGCCCTTCCTTCCTTGCCAGGAGATCCCCAGGAGAAATCTGCCCTAAATGCTTTGGGCTTTCTCTGGAGGCTTTGGGGCTTCCCAGCATGAACTTCCAAAACCTCAGCTCTCCAGGGGCTGGGAGTTGTTTGAACCAGTGGATGAAATTCAAGAGAGGAAAAGAAAGCCCTGGATGTCAGGGGCTGCTCTGAACACACCCGATATGTCGTGAGCCAGCCCTGCTGTGGGTCCCCATCCATCACTACACATCCCTCCCGCTTGGAAGGACCCTCCTGCTCCCCAAAGCCCAGCTGCCTGCCCCAAGGCTTGCATTGCTTTGGGCTTTGCATACTCTTCTTACATAGCTTTTGGCCATAAAATCAATGTTTCTTGGTCTAATTTTCTCCCTGTACACATGTCAGAGTGAGACCCTTCCCTACCACAGTTCACAGACTGTTTGGGGGCAGGAAGGGCATGCTCAGCTGGGCTGATAAACTCATTTAATTTTTATTTATGTATTTAATCAGCTTTTTTTTTTTTTTTTTGCAATCAAGGTGGAGTGTGGTTTTTTTTGTTTTTGGTTTTCTTTTTTTGCGTCCTTGCTACAAGAAACAACTGCAGACACTTCTGGCATAGAGGCATTTTGGCGGCAGCCGCTGCTGTTGGCCTCCCTCTAGTAGTCAGTGAGGGGGTATCGCAGGAAGATGAAGATGAGGATGATACAGAAGGTGGCAAGGGCTGAGCTGGTGATGTTAAAAAGCCGGGCTGTCTTGGCATCTTCAACTGCTCCATTTAAGTCATTGAGGAGTTTCTTATCCCGGACCTGAAAAAAAAATTAAAATAATTGGGAGATGTAGAAAAGACATAAATTTTTTCAAGCAACATCCACAAAACCCAGTGCACTTGTCGGGTACCTACAGAGTGGATGAGGGCTGTGCTCTGCCTCTTTGCATTTAAACACCAGGGGAGCTGTAAAACACCCCGAAGCGAGGTTTGCACCCCAGCTCTGCTATGGGTTGAGCTTGGGAAGCCAAGCGCTGTCTTACGTGTAGGCTGGAAACCCCTGGGAACAGAGAAGACCTGGAAAAGTGACCTGTTGCTGTCACCAACCAGGCAACCCGGGTCCCCGTGGCCCCTGGAGTGGGACAGTGTGTTTTGGAGACTGGGGGTGTACAGGGGAACCGAGGTGCCAGCGTACACCCCAGGCACACGGGCACTAGAGCATCTTTCCCACCATGCTGTAGCTCCATGGTCTTGCAGCACCAGGCTGCGGCTCACTGGCCCACGAGCGAGACAGCTGGCCATGGTTTTGGTGAGCATCCCTGAGCCTCCATCCGTGCCGAGGGGCTGCGCGGGCGAATCCTGGCACAGCATCCTACTGCAGCTCCGGGGCTGCGCACGAGCCTCCCGCATATTAAGCAGCCCTGGGTTAATGAGATCCTTTTGCAGGTCTTCTGCAGCTCGGGGAGTGGTTCTGCCACTGGCAGTTTGCAATCCTGACAGCGCAGGCTGCTCTCATCGTTATCCTGCAGGCAGGCACTGTCATGGGCTTGCCTTGGGACAGCTCTGCAGTGGGTAAGGCTTCTGCATGGCTGTGTCACCCGCCTGTCCCCACTGCCTCCAGGCTGCCAGGCAGCGATGGCACCAGCAGGCAGCAGATGGCATCGTCAGGCAGTGGATGGCACTGCAAGGCAGCAATTATAGAATCACAGAATGGTTTGGGGTGGAAGGGACCTTAAACATCATCCAGTGCCACCCCCTGCCATGGGCAGGGACACCTCCCATTAGCCCAGGTTGCCCAAAGCCTCATCCAGCCTGGCCTTGAACCCCTCCAGGGATGGGGCAGCCACAGCTTCCCAGGCAGGCAGCAATGCTACCAGGCAGCGATGCCACAGCCAGGCAGGGATGGCACTACGAGGCGGTGGATGGCACAGCCAGGCAGCGATGGCATCACCAGGCAGCTGATGGCACTGCCTGCCAGCAGCAGCTCTGCAGTTCGAACCCAGCAGATGAGGGGTCAGGCTCCATCCCTTCCCAGCAGGGATGTCCCCAAACTGTCCCTTCGGCCAGCGCTCAGCAAACGCAGGCAGCTGAAGCCACAAGGATGTGGGACGAAAGAACCAGGAGACTTTATCCTTCTTCCCAAAAAAGGTTGCCCAGAGAAGCTGTGGATGCCCCATCCCTGGAGGGGTTCAAGGCCAGGCTGGATGAGGCTTTGGGCAACCTGGGCTAGTGGGAGGTGTCCCTGCCCATGGCAGGGGGTGGGACTGGATGATTTTTAAGGTCCCTTCCAACCCAAACCATTCTGTGATTCTATGATTCCCTTTCCTGTATCCCAGCAGGGTACCCAGGGGCCAGTGCCTGCTTCACTGACCATTTTGCAGGCAGAGGGTCACAGGCCATGGGGCTGCGTGTCCTCCATGGGGCCGTGTGTCCCTCGCAGCCTGCTTTTGCTGCTGGCAGCGTGAGCAGCATCCCTGCGCTGCCGCTGAACGCTAGATGTCGGTGGCAGGCTGTGAAAACCAGCCCCGAGTCCTACTGAGAAATATTAAAAGGCTTTTATCGACCAGGAGCTTTCCAAAAAGACTCTGCGATGGATTCAGCCCACGTCTTAGTGACATTTTCTCTCTCCCTCCTGTATTGCTTACCCCTGGGGCTGTCCTGAAAGCCTTCTGCAAGGG